GATTCCGTGCTTTTTGTTGTGGTTTTGGGTTGTTTTTTTGTTTTTTTTTTTTTGAACGGGGTGGGGTTCAGGTTGTTGAACAAATCTCTGCGGATGCGGTAGAGAGGGAGAGCCCAAGATAGGAATAAAGAGAGGAGAAAGTAGGGCTGTCCCTTTGGATGGCAGTTCCGCGTCAGCTTCAAGCGCTTGTTCAACCTGGTGTAGTGGAGGGTGTCCCTGCCCATGGCAGGGGGGGTGGAACTAGATGATCTTTGAGGTCCCTTCCAACCCAAACCACTCTAAGATTTTATGGTTCTATCTTTATGTTGTAATTACTCTTCTCCAAGAGGAAGTTTCAAGTCTTTGACCCTGGAATAGAAAGAAGAGCTCACAGGCTTCCTCTGCAGTGAGCTGCCTGTTTGTCTTTTGCTACGGAAAACTCCCGTGTCCCAAGCCGTGATCCTCTGTTGAGCTGCAGCCTTTAATTCTCCTCTACATCGAGTTGTTACTGCTGCTAACAGTCAGATGTGGAACCTGTACGGAGGAGGATTGGAACAGAGAGTGCTGAGAGGCAGAGGAGAGCCTTTACCTTCACAAAAGGGTGTCTGTGGCACCTGGAATATTGATTCCTTGTGTTTTATCTGATCGGTGGTTTGCCAAGTAGATAGGATAGCCTACGAAGGTCCTGGTGCTCTTTTGATGTCCTGTGTGTTCGGTGAGCAGCAGTGCCTCTTGCACTGAAGCGCGGCGTGCTGCCTTCTGTTGCCTAGCCAGGTATGGAGTGCGAGAGAAAAACTAAAAATCTGACTTTCATTAATCTTCTAGATGTTGGGGAAATCTACTCAAGACTACTGGATCACAGACCAGTAATTCAGGGAGAAATACGTTACTTTGTTAAAGAATTTGAAGTAAGTACCTGTGTCTTATTGCGAGCTGTCGTCTTCAGTGTCTGAAACTTTAAACATCTTTTTAGAGATTGTAATGTGTGTGTAATTTTCTACAGAAAGACTTAAAGTGTATTTCTTGCCCAAAATAACATGCCTATAGTATATGTCTTCATCTTTAGTAAACAAGGCAGTAATTTAGATGTTTTTAAATAAAAAGTTTTGAAAGGGACATAAATATTTTTCCTGCAAAAGACTGACAGAATGTTGATGTAGGAGAATGATGTAGTCCTAACTTCTTAGATAAGTCTAGTTGGTTCAAGGAAAACACCGTTGGCCGGTATAGGTTGGCATCTGATTAAGGAACTGCTTTGTGCCCCGGCGGGATTCAGCTTGCACAGTTGTAATTTAATTTTGCTTTAATTTCTGTTCCATGAAAGACAGTAATATTCCTGCAAGAGAAGAGCAGCACTTTATGGAAAGTAAGAAAATCATTAAAAATTGAATGGATGTTATCTGATTGGCTGCAAATAAGGCTAAAATTCTGAAGGTGTGAAAGTGTTTATTGTACAACTTTGCTTGGAAAGCGCAATAGGGTTTCCACACGATGGCAGCAAAAGTTTAGAAAAGTAAGAGTCTTGTGTCTACAAAAGGCTGTGTCTGAGTACGTTTTCATTCTTACAGAATGGGGAATTCCAAATCTTAAAATACAGTTGTACCTCAAACCCTTAGTTTGCAGAGCTGATTTTTAAAAATGACGTTAAAATGTCCTCTGTCCTTGTAGCTAATATTCCAAGTAGGTCTAATTTGTCTCCATACTGGTTTAGCCAAATAAGTATGTGAACTAAACTCTCAGATGTGTATCATATAGACTTGAGAGTCATAAGGAATGATTTCTTCTCTTTGCTTTTTCTAAATAAGTTATAGGATACAGTAGAGAGTTATGTGTGGCTTTTCATAGGAAGGAAAATTTTAAACTTATTTACAAAATTATAACTCATATCTTTATAATTCATATATTTCTCTCATTGCACCCTGAAGTCTTGTTCTATGTCTTAAACAAGTTTCGTATATTCTTAGATTTCTCTTGAAATTTGTTTTCTCGTTTATACTTTTAGGGCAAAAATAGCAAAGCAGAGGATTATTTGTGGTTTTGCAACTTGGAATTTCTTCCAAAATGACACTTGTTTCTAAGTATGAGATATCAGTTATTTTTTGGTTGTAGTAGGACATAAGCTGCTTCTTTCACTGATTAAGGTCTAGTGTGTAACAACTGTAGATTTGCATTCAGGAGGTGTGGAACCTGTTTAACTAAGCAACTTTACTTGCCTGTGCCTCTATTTCTGAAGTTTTAAAATGGATGTGGTGATCCAGTTGCCCACTTCATGTGATGCAGTATTCCTTGATCATCTAGAATTGCTTTATGATTAGCAGCTTTCAGTATCAGGAATGCTTGTGTGCAGCTCTACCCATAACTCCAAAGAGAGGGAAAAGGGGGCAAGGGGCAGGCAGCATTCTGGAGCAGGTGTCAGAATCCTTTTCATTGTCCAAAGGAAAGTGCAGGTGAAATTCAGAGTGGAAGTAGTGCTGTGGCTTTGGAAAAATAGGTTTGTTTGTTTGTTTGTTTTAATGTAAATAATAAAGCAAGAGCTTGTTCTTGTAATCCTGATCAGCAGTGAGCCAGAAGAAGGGCTGCCTTTTTAGTCAGCTGTGTTACGTTGTTTTTTAGTCTTGACTTGGTTGCTTTACTAAAAACAATTTTTCGTGCGTTGTTTTAACCTCGTACCATGCTAAATCTGGAAGGTCAGACATCAAGCAAGCAAAATCACTGCTGTGTTATTTCTCTGTAGCAGTTGAGTTATAAAAATGCAATGCTTTCAAGCTCTGTTTCTCTCTGTTGTTTTTGATATGCTGTAAATTGCAGCAACATATGTTTCCACATGATGTTTTCATTAGTAAATACTAACTTTTCTCACAAGGGCCAGAGTATTCATGCATTTTACTGTGAAGAATGGAGCATTACCCTCATTTTTCACAAAACTAATTTTATCAATTGTGCTAAATGAGTAACACTTTAATAGGTAATTGTATAGTCTTTGAGATAAAGCTATTAGTTTATCAAGTGGGAAACCATCTTATTTGGGAAAGTAAACTTCCTTGTTAGCCACTCATTTTCTTTCAATTCTTCTGACAGGAAAAACGTGGCCTCCGTGAACTGCGAGTACTCGAAAATCTAAAGAACACCATCTTTGAAACAAACGAGCACGTTTTTCCCAAGTGTGAGCAGGCAATGCATGACAATTTGAATGAAGCATTCAAGAGATGTAAGCACGTTGCTTCTTATTCTGGCTGTGTAGTTTTTGACTGCCAAATTTATGCAGTTGAAGCATACTACTGTGGGTTTTGTTATATTGTACGTATAGCGTGCTGTATAAACATTTAATTTCATATAGCGTAATTATATGGCATCTGGCAGAATAACAAATGGTAGGTGATGCTATACGTATAAAACAAAGGCAGGAAAATATTTGGAACTTGAAATCTAGCCATGCAAATAAGCCATATGTTCTAATACTTGTTAAATGGAGTGGAGGATATTACTTACTGTCTAATGGTCAGCTGTGCAATACATCGTTACTAGTAGAATCCTAGAATGGTTGAGGGGAGAAGGGACCTCTGGAGGTCGTTTTGTCCTACCTCACTGTGCAAGCAAGGGCAGCTAGAGCCAGTTTCCCAGGGCTGTGTCCAGTTGGGTTTTGAATACCTTTACAGACGGAGACTCTGCAACCTCTCTGCGCAACCTATGCCAGTGTTTGACCGCTCTCACTGGAAAAAAAGCTTTTTCTTGTGTTCAGATGGTATCTCATGTGTCTCAGTTTGTGCCCACTGCCTCTTGTCCTGTCAGCGAGCACTACAGAGAAGAGTCTGGCTCCCTCATCTTCATTCCCTTCAATCAAATATTTATTCACATTGATGAGATTCCCCCTGGGCCTTTATTTCTCCAGGCTGAATGGTCTGATCTTTCTCAGCCTCTCCTCATATGAAAGATATGCCAGCCCCTTAATCTTTGTGGCCATGTGGTGGACTTGGTCCTGTAAATCCATCTCTCTTATTTACTGGAGAGCCCAGAAGTGGACATGCTGCCACAGGTGTGGCCTCACCAGAGCTGAGCAGAGAGGAGAGATCGCCTCTTTTGACTTGTTGGCAGTGCTTTTCCAAATGCAGCCCAGGCCACCTTTTTTTACTGCAAGGCTGTGTTGTTGGTCCTAAGCGTGTATTCCTGCCTGGGATTATTCCTCCCCAGATGCAGGACTTATCGTTTCCTTATGTTGAACTTCATAAGATTCCTCTCAGTCCAATTCTCCAGTGGCTTAAGGCCCCTCTGAATGGCGGCACAACGGTATAATCTATCAGCCACTCTTCCTGGTTTTGTATCGCCTGCAAACTTGCTGAAGGTGCTCTCTGCTCCAGCATCTGGGTCCCCAATGAAAGATGTTAAACAGTTTTGGCCGCAGTGCTGACCCCTGGGATAAACCACTAGTGACTTGCCTCCAGCTTGACTTTGTGCTGCCGTCACAGGCTCTAGACTTGGCTGTTCAGCCAGTTTTCAGTCCACCTCACTGTCCACTTACCTAACCCCTGCTGTGTTCGCTTGCCCGTGAGGGTGTTATGAGAGACAGCATCAAAAGCCACGCTGAAGCTGAGGTGAACAACCTTGCCAGCTTTCCCCTCCTCTGCCAAGCTAGTCGCTGCATTGTAGAAGATGGTCAGGTCAGTTAAGGAGGATTTCCCGTTCATAAATTCATGCTGACTACTCCTGATCGCTTTTGCCTCTCCTTCATGTGTTAGAAAAAGTCCTCCTGGAAGCATTTCCAATCACCTTTCTCAGGATTCAGGTGGGCTGACTGGCCAGTAGTTCTCCGAATCTTCCTTCTTGCCCTCCTTGAAGATAGGAATCCAGCCTTCAGGAACCTTTCCCTTTTCAAAGAGAGAGTGTGGCCTTGCAGTAACATCAGCCCAGCTTGCTTGGCACTCATGGATGCAACTCATGGAGCCCCATGGACTCAAATAGTTCCAGTTTGTTTAATTGCTCCCTGAGCTGGTCCTCCTCCACCAAGGGTAAGTCATCTTTGCTCCAGTCTCTCCTCTGGTCTCAGGGGCCTAGGATTACTGAAGGCTGGTCTTTATGGTAAAGACTAAGGCAAAGGCAGCACTGAGTATCTTGGCCTTTTCCATGTTCTTTATCACCAGCTGCCCTGCCTCGTTCAGCAGAGGGCCTGCGTTTTCTCCAGTTTTCCTTTTACTGTTTATGTACTTGTAGAATCCTTTCTTGTTGCCCTTTGCATCCCTTGCCAGATTCAACTCCAGATCAGCCTTGACTTTTCTAACCCTGTCTCTGCAGGATTGGGCAGCAACTCGTTAATCCTCCTGGGTCCCCTGTCCCTGCTTCCACCTCCTGTACGCTTCCTTTTTAAGTCTGAATTCAGTTAGGAGCATCTTGCTCGTCCATGCAGGCCTCCTACCACCTTTGCTTGATTTCCTACTTGTTGGGATGGACCTTTCTTGAGCTTGGAGGAGGTGATGCTTGAAAAGGGTGCTATATCCCTTCTGTTACCACTGTCGCAGACCCTTGGTTTACCTACTCTATCCCCAACTTCCTTACTTTCCTTTTTTTGAGGAATCACTCCCTCACTTGTCATTTCTAGTTTAAAGCTGTCCCTACCAGCTTGGCCAGCCTCTTGGCCAGGATACTTTTACCCTGTTTAGCCAGGTGGCTCCCATCTCTTCCAAGCAGCTCTTGATGCTCAGAATAGGTTTCATGACTAGAAACCAAAATCCTGCTGCCAACACCAGCTGTGCAACCCAAAGACCCATTGAGTCCCCCTCACCAGGAAGGTTAAGGGGAACATTACCTGGACCCACCCTGTGCCTTTGACCACTGTCCCCAGATCCCTGTAGTCATTCCTGATATTTCTCAGGTCACCCTGAGTACCACTGGTTTCTACATGGAAGAGCACCAAGGGTAATCGTCCAAGCCTCAGTAGCCTCTCTGCAACATCCCCAGTGTGAGCCCCTGGCAAGCAGCAAACCTCCCTAGATGACAAATCATATCAACAGGTGGGGAGCCTCCATCTCTTGCTGTAGGGAGTCTGCTACAACTGTCACTTGCCACTGTCTTCTGATGGTCCTGAGTGGCTCAGGCTCAGCCACCAGAGACGCTCCAACTCCTGGTGCTCCCAGCTCCTCATCAGCTACGAGGGCAGCGAACCTGTTCTGTAACTGGAAGTTCTCAGAGGGACAGAAGCCTGCCTCCTGCTGTGAGGAGTCAACAGCTTTAAGATGATGATAAGTAAGGTGTTTCTCGATACTGGGATGTGTTAGTGGGAGAAATGACTGCTTTGGGGAAATCAGTTTATTTAATTCTACATTAATTAAGTGTTAAGTAAGTTAGGAAAAAAACCTGCATAGGAATTCGGTTCCTGTTTCCATTGATAAGTTTTCCTAGGCTTAGTCTCACGAGAGAAGAGACTGGCTCCAGCATAGAGATGTTCTCCATGTAAATTGCTTATGCTGAATCATTAATTCACCTTTTACATTTGATGGGGAAAAAAATAAGAGGAAAAAAACCCAAACAACCACCACCCAAAACATAGAGCTTGGTCACCTGTTTCCGCTTACTGACTTGAGGGTTTTTTTATGTGTTCTGAGGTGCAGAGTAAGGCAGTCTGACTCATCAGCAGCACCAAGGAGTGTGGGCACAAGGGGACGTAGCTGCCTTTCTCCTTTCGGCTTCTGGAACGCACCAGGGTTGAACTCGATGATGTGCCCTCGTACAGTTACCAGTGCCAAGCGTTTTCGGCAAGTTCTGACAAATTTGTTGCGTGCAGAGTTAAGCACATATAATTTTTGACTTGCAACAGCCTCATGTCTTTTTAAATCCCTTTCAGGCGACTTTCTTTGATTTAGAACAGCGGACTGATCCAGTGCAATTTGTTATTTCAGTGCAAGCTGCCAACGATATGATCCATAGACTCCAGGAGAGGGAGCATGAAGAGAGGAAGGTAAAGGATCGATGGATAGATTTTTATAATGTGACCTAAGTAAGAGTCTTGTGCTTCTGCAGCAGGTCAGTCTGCCTTCAGTACAGCAGAAGTTAAAAGCATATTTTTCTATACTTTATGTACTGGCAGTAACACTTCTTTTGGGGTGATTTCTGCACTTATAAAACACGTACTGCATCAGCATATGTGTTCTCAACTGCAAATTTAATGGATCACTAGCTCTTCCTACAATCTCCTGATGTATGGAAACATTTTTTTTTTAATTTCCTTTGCTTTATTTTCCTTCCTAGCTCAGACTACAATATTTGTCACATACAGGGAAAGCTTAAATATAAAAAAAAATTGTTTTCTGTGGAACAAAAAACACCTACTAACCTACCAGAATGGAAACATAAATGTTTCCTAGTTAGCTGAGAACATTGACCATATTATATATATATATATATATATTTTGCTTGTTGAAAAGGAAGTGTTTTTTTCACTTGTGGATGGGTTATTTAATGAAGGGCCATATTATAGGAACATGCGAATCATTGGAATCTTTTCAGTTGGCTACGCTTTGCTCATTTGAAATACATGTGCTCTGAATATAAAATTTGGAAAATTATACAAGACATTAGTGTCATGTTTTCCCCCATTGCTCCTTCATGATTGTGTTCCTGTGCTATCTTTTTACTTGCAAAATATTACTTATAATCGTTTAGTTTCGAAAAACCAAAGACGTCTCTGTGGCCGTCACGCGCAACAGGCGGCGCGGGGGTTTGCGTAAGCCGAGTCCTGTTTTTCTTTCCTTTTTGTGACCGGTGAAGATGGGCAGCCCAGGTGCAGTTGGATGCGAGTACCCTGCGAATGGCATG